AACTCGTCGTAAATGTGGAGGTGGAATGTGACTTAATACTGGAAGCCATTGGGTGGGAGTTGATTTAATTGTACCAGCTATCATCCTCATAGTGCTGTGCAGTTGAGTGTCGACCTTTTTTACGTGTGGACTGTGTAGCCAAACTGGGGCACAATATTCAGCGGTCGAGAAAACAAGGGCTAAAGCAGTAGAGCGGAGAGTGGAAGCCGATGCTCCCCAGGTGGTACCGCAGAGCTTCTGTATAATGTTATTTCTTGTACTCAACTTTTGGGCAGTTTTTGTTAAATGCTCTTTAAATGATAGCGTTCTGTCTAGTGTTACGCCCAGGTACTTCGGTGTTTTGTTGTGGGAAAGTGTGGTATTTTCAAACCGTATGTTGAGTTCCTTTCCAGGAAGTTTATTGTTCAGGTGAAAGCAACTTACTTCTGTTTTGGATGCATTTGGTTGAAGCCGCCACTTGCGAAAATATTTGCTCAATATATATATATATAAGTCTGCCGTCAGAACTTCTTTAGATGTTTCTAGTGTTCTGCATCGTGTAGTGAGGGCCCAGTCATCGGCTTATCCGAACTTTCTTGATTGTGTTTTTGGCATATCTGCTAAATATAAGCTAAATAGTAATGGAGAGAGCACTGACCCCTGTGGTAGGCCATTCTTAAGTTTCTTTGGTGGGCTGATATCTGTGCCCATCACTACTTGAAACATTCGGTCGTTGAGCATGCTATCTATTAAACGTGCTATTTGTTTACAGGCAATTGCACGGAGAATTTTGTATATAAGGCCCTCTCTCCATACTGTATCGTAAGCTGCTGAAAGATCAATAAATGGCGCTGAAGTTATAAGTCTTCTTTGGAAACCCGCTTCGATGTAGGTGGTGGGTGACATGACCTGGTCCGCGCAGCTTCGTTCTGGTCGAAAACCCGCTTGTTCGACTGGGATCACCTGGAACAGTTCTGTACTGATTCTATTATATATAAGCCTCTCTAATAGTTTGTAGATGGCAGAGAGAAGCGCAATTGGTCTGTAGTTTTTTGGGTTGTCAGCGGGTTTGCCTGGCTTTGGTATGGCTATTATCTTAGAGCGCTTTAGTTCTTGTGGGATATTTCCAGTTTCCATGATGTCTGTGAAAAATCGAGCCAACCAAACTTTTGTATACTTGCCACAATTTAGTAGGAATTCAGGGTGAATTTTATCAAATCCTGGTGTTTTTGCTGGCTTAACATCTTTTAGAGCCTCTGATATGTCTTCGCTGGTGAAGGGGAGGGAATGCTCCGTTTCTGTGGCTACATGTTTTAAAGTTTTAAGTTCTCTCTTTACGTAGATGGTGTGTGCTTTATCCTTTGGTGCTCTGGATGTTTTTACTATATGTGATGCTATGGCATCTGGCTTTACGACTGCCTCTTGGCGTTTCGTACGGACACCACTCCCTAATTTTCTTAGTAATGACCATGCCTGTCTGCTTGATTTCTGGAAGTTTAGACTTTCTACTGTTTCGGTCCACTTTTGTCTTCTAGCGGCGTCTAGGCTGTACAGTAGTTCATCCGCTATTTCTTGGTCGCCAGTTTCAAGAAAGCTCTGATATAGTTCCTCGCTATTTTCCGACCAGCCAGGAACATATTCTTTGCGATATCCTCTTGGTATGTGTTTTTTTGGCTACACTTAGCACGGCACCAACAAATCTATGGTAGTTTTTGATATTCGGTGTAATCCACCCTAGACATTTATCTAGATCCACAGAGAAGTCAGTCCAGTTGGCCTTTTTAAAATTCCATCTTGGACTTGGGTAAGTTGCGCCTAATAGTTCATATCCCGAAATTTTGCCCCTTTTTTGTAGTTGCTCCTCTGTTTCGCAGTGGGTTTCCTGTATAGCAACTAAGTCAATGTTGTCATCTTTTAATAGTTTTGATAAAAACTGGCTTTTAGCATAGCTTATGCCTTCTATGTTTATGTGGCAAATTCGAACTATAGGTCCGATTGGTCTAGTTGTGCGGTCATCACAAGGGCCGTTTATTTTGTTTATCATCTTTCGTTGGAAGTGTTGTTTGGTCAGGAGATCCTAGGGATTGTCTGACTGCCAGTATGTGCTAGTTCATTTAGCATTACCCAGGGTGCACGTGTAGTATTCTACTACGGACGCGAACTAGCTCTACACCCCTCTACAGCCTCTAGGCACAGGAGAGAGTTAATTGGACAGAAATAGTCAAACAAATTACATGACTCCACTACATCCTTAAAGATTGAGGAGGATACTATTGCCATGTAGGCAAGATTCTATTTTATTCATAAAGATATTCATAAGATAAATCTTTGTGGTTATTTATCGAAGGAATATTTTATAGTAAAATTGAGTACATACTAAGGAGATGAAGTGTTTTAACCATATTATCTATCGTCCGATTTGTACATCGCATTTTAGTATTAAATGGAGTTAGTTCTTTTTGTAATTACTTATCGTCGTAACAACTTAAAAAATCATTTTAATTTTTTATTAGATCTTTGATGAATTTCTAATTTCAAAATTGTTTGATACGAGTTTACTATGAAATATTATTATGTAACAACGAAGTGATTACTTTACATAAATAAGCATCTTTAAAAACTTTTATTATTGCCATAATCTGATACACATCTAATAGTTTTTTCTTATTGTATTGCATATTACAGAGCCATCAGTGCGCTGTTTCAAATAGCTTTATTAACATTTTATGCAATAATTACTTTCTTTTTATTGTTATCGCAATTAGATTTTTCTTCCTTATGTCGAAGAACAATGACAACGATAAATAAATACTTTCAATATAGTTCTTTCACATCGTACTGTTTTTAATTACTAATCGCTTGGTTGCCCTTTAGTAACGCATTGTTGTTTTGGCGCGAAAGTGATAGTGTTTGCCATATGGTTGGATTTCCGGAAGTAGGTTCCAATTCTAATCAGTTTGTAGATGCATAGTCTTGCCTTCGAAACCTTTCGTTGCGTGCAATTATGGCTCTTTTCTGCACACAATAGAAAAATAGAAACTATTTCCATAAAGTTTTTGTTGGGAAATAGTTCGATGTACCTCAGGCAGTTAAAGTCTTTAGTTATCTAGTATGAAGGTTGCTACGAGGTTTGTCCGATAACTACGTTGCTTAACGAAATAAACGCTAAAAGTTTTCTGTAACGGTAATACCTCAAGAAGTTTTCATCTGTATTGCATTTGAAAATTATTAATGGCACAGCGTTATGACACAATGAGAAAATGAGACAAACATCTAATTTTATGAATATTATATTAAAGTTTTATTTAACATTAAGTTTTTATTTAATTTATTTGAGAGGACTCTAGTTTTAAATGTACTTGACGCTCTTGTACACGAACATCCCACTAATATTGTTTGGAGTATAGTTTATAAGTTTTTAATGACATTAATGGAGTTGCAGAGGAAACCTTTAATAGGCTTTTAATTTAACGAAAACAAAGAATTCTTATAAAATTATCGAAAATGCCAATGGGAAGAAAACTCTTAACAAATAGAGGATAAAATAAAACAAACAATTCGAAGAAAAGTGTATTTCTTTGATTTTCAAATTAACATACCTACTTTGGACCTTTAACAGCCATAGTGACGAAACTTTTTCAAGCATAACAGGAGAAACACTGCGGAAAATTTAGACTTCGTTTGGAAGAAGCACGATATAAAATATGTGCTTACGATCCCGTATGCCCCCGAACTTTTTGATTGCTTGATCACGTCGCATTGTTTTTACAATAAATCGTCGTAACGCAATTTAGTACTTCTGACTGTGTAAATGTTTTGTTGCTTCGACTTGGTTTTCGATTAGTTTTCATGGTTTCATACTTCTTCCTCTTCATAGCCTTCTATTATCCATTTTTGGACATGAGCCTCTCACAACTTCTTCTATCAATCTCTATCCTGAGCAACCTATTTCCATTTTGTTCATCTTTTTATATCATCTACGAATCTCATATGTGGTCTTCCTCGTGGTAGTCTACCTTTGTAAGGTCTCCAATGTTGTATTGTGGCGTTTCAACGTTGGTATTTTTGTCCAATAGTAACAAAAAACCACTATGTTGTTACTAGCTAAGTTTTTTAACATTCTAACTCTACAATTCTAAGTTACGGTAAGACCAACAGTGTTTTTTAATAGATAATATATGATAGCTAATTATAATTTATTCTCTTTCAGCCCTGAAGAAGCCAATTTAAATCTCTTTGGCGAAAACGTTCGGCGAAACAATTGATCTCATTTGAGTCTTTCTTGCAGATTTCCCCAATATTTAAGAGTTATATATAAGAGTATATATATATATATATATATATATATATATATATATATATATATATATATGTGTGTGTGTGTGTGTGTGTGTGTGTGTGTGTGTAGGTGTGTGTGTGTGTGTGTGTGCAATATACTATTTCATTATTTTCTATTTATATTTTAAAGTATGAGTTCTTAGAATGGGACTTTCGAGACGGCTTGTCGAAGACGACTTTACCTTAGAATAAAAAAATGTAATTGTTAAATTATCGGCCGAGGCGCTGTAGTCATTTGCAGATGTAATTATAAAAACTGTACACAATAACAAGGAATTTACTAAACACACATAACCTATTGTTTGAAAAATACATACTTAAGGGATTCTGAGGGAACAAGGAAGGAAAGAACTCTAATTTATATGATTGTCAATATGTTAAGTACATAGTAAATAGCTGTCGAAATATTCACATATTTTCGGAACATGCACCTTTAAAAACAAACAAAAATAACTGTATTAAAATATCTAATAAAAATTACAGCTTTGTGATGCTATGTGCGCAATTAACGTAATTAATAGAGACTTTGTTCGAGTTATAAAATTTTTATTAACCAAATCTGGTCTTTCCTATCTTTTATTTGCTTTTCGTGTTATTATCTAAATGGCATGTTTTCATTGTAAGACAACAGGCTGTTGTCGTTAATTAGATAGATATTTCGTTTATTTGGTTTTTGTTTTCAGTGGCAGCGTGAGCAGTAGTAACGCCTCTTTAGATCGGGATAAAGTGTCGGGAGGTTCTAGTCCGTTGATCGAGAGCAAGGAATTACCTGTGGACGTGAGAGACGGAATTTTACATTGCAAAATATTGGAGATAGATGGCAAGGTAAGTGATTAGTATAGATTAGTTAAGAATATTTACCGCAGTTGATATTTTTCCATAAATGAAACTAAGTTAGGTCAAATAACAGTCACAAAAAGTCACAGTGTAAAAAATCGACAACAGAAATATTTTGTCAAATGTTTGAAATAAGGATTAATCTTACACATATTATATATACATTATATTAAGCAAACATATTCTGTTTGCCGTTTGTTACACTTCAATCGGCATTTCTTCGTGTCGTATATCTCTTCTTCAAGTAAGGTCTCGTCTTTCCTTTATTGTTTTTATTTGTAACAAATAATATTGCTTATAATTATTACTTTAGTTCAACAAGTGGTGAATGTAGCTTTTTTGGTAGAATATTCAAAAGATACTTTAACGCGCCAAGATAAGTATGAGGTAACCGCTAGCCTTTGCACCCCTCAAGGTAGCAGAGGAAGTCGTCTGCTCCAACGCCAGTGACCAACCCACTAAAACACCCTTTATGTTTTCCGCTTATGACGGGAAATGCCCTATAAAGACTTGCTGATCTCCTACTGATATAGTAGTTCTTCTTTTTATGTAGACATGACTGTCTGTTTTTCAATTTGCCTCTAGTAAATTGCCGTTCCATCGTTTTCGTGCTCTTTCTACTGATCGTCTTTCTATTGGGAACAGTCTCTTGACGTCTTTACTACTTCTATTTGTTGTCATTCGGCTTATATGATCGTTTCATTCTACTCTTCTACTTCTTACCCAGTTTTTAATGTTCTCGACCTTGCATCTACGTCGTATATCTGTACTTCTAGCTCTGTCCCATAGTGTCTGGTCCTCAAGTGTTTTCATCTCTGCTGTTTCTATCATCCCTTTTGTCCTGTTTGTCAGGTCGTGTTTCTCCCGCGTACGTCATTATTGGTCTGGCGACTGTTTTGTTAATTCTGCTTTTCTTTTCTTTTCTGTTTGCTCTTCCACTTCAGTTTCGAGCTCTCTCTAGCTAGATAATGTGGTGCCCAGATATTTAAACTCTATCATTTGTTCTATTATCTGACCTTCCAGCTCCAATTTACATCTTAGTAAATTTGCTGTTATAACCACAGAATAACAAACAATCAGAATGCCCACTCACAGATGCCGCCTTTGAAGTTTTTCTGCACGCGCGCCATTTTTTAGAAGGAAACACATAACACAGACATATGATTTGCGAGGTTATGTAATTGTTTATATTTATGTTTAATTATATTATATTTATATTATTATGTTTAACAATGTTAATATAATTGTATGGTATGTCTATGATTGCCTTAAGTCAATTAAACCGGGTTAATTTTTCTATGCACACCACATAAACAATACTAGTTCCCTCTAAAACATGGCGGAACGTCTGCGCGAAGGAGATGCGCGTACTTAATTTTCCATCGAGAGTGGGCATTCTGATTGTTTATTATTCTGTGGTTATAACCATGCATTTTTACTTTTTTGGGGAAATTAACATGTTAAATTTTCTGTCGGTTATATTAAATTGGTGCATCAAACGTCGTAAATCGTCTTCACTTTGAGAGTAGTATTGCGTCGTCTGCATAGCAGATTATTTTAACTTGTTTTTTTCCCATTTGGTATCCTTTTTTAGTTTTTACTTTTTTTATTATTTCATGCATAATCAGGTTGAAAAATAGAGGACTTAGGGAATCCCCCTGTCTTATCCTATTGCCATCTTCAATAGTATCGGTTAGTTCTTCTTCCACTTGTACTTATATTGTGTTGTTTTGGTATATATTTTCGATCGTTTTGATTATTCCTAGAGGTATCATTCTTGCGTACAATAAGTGGATAACGTCTTTTAATTTGACCCGGTCAAATGCCTTCTTAAGGTCCACGAAACATAGATATGCCGGTTTGTTGTATCCTAATGATTTCTCTTGCACTAGCCTCATTATAAATATAGTGTCGGTGCATGATCTTCCCGACCTAAAACCTTTTTCTTTGTTATCTTTTTGGAAGGATCTTTCTTTGATCTCGTGCCCCCTATAATAATAGCCTCAATTTTCCCAGTGGCCATTTCTAAATTGTGAGTCCTGAGCCATTTCGTCACGACATTTAATGCTTGGTATAACCTACGCTTAATGTCTCATTTGGATTAGGCTTCGAATGTCTACGGGTTTGAAAGTTATCCTTTCGGATCATATTCATGAAGTGCTAACTCCGTTACGAACTATATGAGCTGCCAGAAAGAGTTGTATTGAGCTGCAGTCATTCTATGCTTAAAAGTTCCCACACTTTCTTCCCTGAATTTTGTTTTGAATTATGAACCTCAGGATACCGTATTTTTCTCCACACATTATACAGTGTGTCCCAAAAGTAAAATTCATAATTTTCTTCCTGATTCAGTTTGAAAAATACACAAAACAGGTCGATTTTCATTTTCAAATTTTGTAATTTTTTGATGATTCACAAGGAGTGAAACACAAAAAAAAACTATTTATCGAAGTTATGACGGCATCAACTATCTTAAATTGTAATGAATAGTCCTTTCAGAGTAAAATTTAACGATATAGTGTGTAGTACCCTTTTCTAATTATGTAACAATAAAACACTGAAAACTTTGTTTTCAAACTTCCACAAAATTTATTTTAACTCTTATCACTACACATGTTTCGGCTGATTGCCTTTCTCAAGTGATCTATTTTTGGCTTGTGTTTACAAATTTATAGTCTCTAATGAAATAGGTTGAGGAGGGGAGAACTGTTTGTCCCAAGTTGGTCATTCAGAATTATATCTAACTATAACGCTAGCTTAATTTGTTTTTGATATTTTTCTGTCGGAATTTTTGTGTAAAGCGTTAGAAAATTCAAAACCAATACTAAATCCAATAGAACAGAAATACCTCAATATCATGAACCCACAGCCTCCTAAATTATACTCTTTCAATAAACTACACAAACCGGATCACCCAATAAGACCTGTAGTTTCTTTTTTACAGCTCCGTCATATAAACTTTCAAAAAAACTGTTAGAGATTATTTTAGAACACACTAAATTTTCACCTAAATTTACCATAAAAAATACAATAGAACTAGTTAATAAAATACAACATTTTCAATTACCTAACAACTCCAGATTAATTACATTTGACGTAAAAAATCTTTTTCCTATTATCCCTCCTACAGAAAGTTTTATTCAAGTAAAAAACCTTTTAGACCAAAATAGTACAAATCCAATAATTACATCTGAAATTTTACATCTTCTTGAAATTTCCATAAAACAGGACTTCTTTGAATTTAATAATAAAATATATACAAATAACAGTGCAGGACTTATAATGGGTAATCCTCTAAGTCCATTGCTATCAGATATTTTTATGGATCATCTAGAGACAAAGATTTCAAAACATCCCGTATTCAAACAGTTTTTATATTGGTGGAGATACGTAGACGACGTACTGGTATGTTTCACAGGAACTAACAGGCAACTCGACCAATTTTTATCGTATAATAATTCACTTCATAGTCATATTGAATTTACAATAGAAAAAGAACAAAATCAATCCATAAATTTTTTAGATTTAAAACTTAGCAGACTTCAAAACAAACATGACTTCTCCATATTTCATAAACCTACCCATACTGACACGACTACACACAATTCATCATCCCATCCAACACAACATAAACTGGCAGCTTATCATAGTATGTTACATATATTAACAGAAATTCCGTAGTCAAAATACTACTTTGAGACAGAATTAAATATAATTAAGCAAATAGCAGTAAACAACGGATACAACGAATAAACAATTAATAAAATGTTAAATCAAAAACTACACAAGAAAGCCCTGAAATTCGTATTTCCACCACCAGAGAAAAAACTCAGCACCTTCTGCTCGATTACATATACAGGCAAAATAACAACAAAAATTGCCAAACACATAAAAAAGACAGGAATAACACCAGCTTTCCGAACAAATAACAACCTAGGCAAATATATTAAAAATAACAAAAGCCAAAATAAAAAACACTTAAATAGTGGTGTGTACAAACTTCAACGTGGCGACTGCCCAAAAACTTACATCGGCAAACTGGTAGAAACTTTAATAAACGAATAGCAGAACATAAAAGGGCTTTCAAGAATAGAAAAACAGATTCGACATACGCACTTCACCTTCTAGATCATAATCATTCTTTTAATGACAAATTTAAAATTCTTCACATTCAAAATAAAGGCCTTAAGCTATCTTTGTTAGAATCTATGGAAATCAACAAATTAAAAACACAGATATAATTCTGAATGACCAACTTTAGACAAACAGTTCTTCCCTCCTCAACCTATTTGATTAGAGACTATAAATTTGTAAACCCAAGCCAAAAATAGATCACTTGAGAAAGGCCATCAGCCGAAACAGCTGTAGTGATAAGAGTTAAAATAAATTTTGTGAAAGTTTGAAAACAAAGTTTTCAGTGTTTTATTGTTACATAAAATGAATTTCCATCAAGTAACGGTCGAATCCATCAATTACTTTTCTAATTACTTTATGAAATAGGTATTTGTGAAAATATGTAAAAATTGTGGTGTTAATAATTCAAATTTTTGCCACTGAGTATATCATTATTTGTTGCATTACAAAAAGTATGCGGCATATTAAAAAAATTGCATAATACTGGTGTTTATTTGACATGAACTATCTGCAGTGATAACAACTCAGCCAAAGTTAAAATACACGGAATATATTCAGATGCCTTCAAAAAAGAAAGTAATTAGACAAGGCTTCATACTATCACCATTAATATACAGCATATACTTTGAATATATAATTGAAAAGTACTACACGAACGGGATGGGGGAAGCCTTCGAAATATGGGTCTATAGAAGAATTATACGCGTGTCTCGGACTGAGCATAAAACCAACCTGTGTTCGAGTATACCTATATTACTTCGGAACCATGGAACTATTGGTAATAGAAGGCCGAAGACCAACAGGAAGATCACCAACACGATGGGCAGACCAAATGATGTCTGGTTGGAAAATCC